TCTTGTAAATTAGCGCACTTTCATTTACACCCCCTGTAGCCTAGGGCACCCCCCTAGCGTCATTTGCCCAACAATGGGACTTTTAGGACCTAGCCCACGCGAGTTAGATTCCGCCTGACGTTAAATAGTAATAAATAAATAAATATATGTATATATTTTCTTGGATTGCTGTTGGTATGGGTATCGTATGTTGAGAATTATTTAGATGGGTAGGTAGGTAGATAGATGGAGGTTTTTCTTGTTAGATTCTTTTCTTTGGGATTTCTAGTTTTATAGGTATTTTCTAACCTTCCTTTTTTACTGAGGGAGAGAGAGGGAGAGGGAGAGGTGTTTTAAAGGCTTCGTTTTTCTTTTCTTTTTCTTTTTCTTTTTTGTGTACTGTACGTATCTTGCAGTACTTCCTACGAAGGTGAGAGAGATTAGTGGTTAGACTTTTTTTGAGTGTCTTACACCTAGGTAGTGTTTTTTCTGGTTGGTTTGGGTGTTGGGGGTTCGGAGGTAGATGTGCTGGGAGATGGATGATTGGATTGGATTGGATGTTAGATTATCTAGGCAGAGTGAGAGGGAGAGAGGTGGAGGTGGAGAGGAGAGAGGGTAGTCGATATACATACGTATCCCTTCTACATCTATCCTCTACCCTGAAGTAATCTTTCATCTTGGAGCTAGGGAGAGATAAAGCTGGATCGAGATACTATAAGGGGTAGGAGTTATAGTAGTTTAGGTAGGTGGATTTTATAGATCTATGAATAGAGGGTAGAGAGGAGAGGGGATTAGGGGGAGTAGAAGGGGGAATGGGATTTAGATTAAGATTACTTATGTTAGTTGGTAGGTAGTTAGGAGTGGAATAGGTGGGGATCGGTATATATGTAAAGTCTTAGTACGGATGTATTTTTGATAAAGGTTAAGTTTAGGTTGTAGATATAGGACCGGATTTCTATTATATTAATATTATCTTTAAATAACGTACCTTGATTTGACTTTATTATTCTTATCCCCTCGTCGTATTATGTACGTGATTACTTAGCATATCATAGACCATATATCATATAATAGAGAGCGAAAGAAAGATCAGAATACCACATAGCTCCACAATCAAACAGCTAACCCTACTATATCTCTTTCCCTTCCCCCCCTCCCTTCC